GGTGAACATCTACCATGGGGTGCTCTTGGCAAGGTTTGTTCGAGGGGGGTGTTTTCCATTGCCTTCCTCTGAGGCTGAGAGAGTGTAACTTACCCAAGGCTAACCAGTCAGTTTTCATGACTGAGCAGGGACTCAAACCCTGGTCTACAGGGTTGTAGTCCAACATTCAAACCACTGCACCATGCTGGCTCCTATTAATACACTTTCTTTAATTCATATTATATAAGGTTTCTACATTGTAAGCAAACTCAGTTCATTTTACAAAACCTAAAACTGAGAGTCGGCGTGGTGTAGTGGTTTGAGTGTTAGGCTATGATTTTGGAGGCCAGGGTTCAAATCCTGGCTCAGCCATATAAACACACTGAGTGACCTTGGGCAAGTCACACTCTCTCAGCCTATGAGGATGGCAATGGTACACACCCCCCCCCCGAAGAAACTTGCCAAGCCAACCCTCTGATAGGTTTGCCTTAGGGTCGCCATAAGTCGGAAACAATATGAAGGCACACAATAATAACAACAAAACCGAAGACTGACTCCCAATAAGAATGCATGTAAGAAATAAACATTTCTCAGGTTTGTTTTTTTTTTTTTTTTTTGTCAAGGATTTCTCCTTAATCAGAGTTGCCAATTTGTCCATTTCAGTAAGTTCAACTATCAGGATATGGGACTTAAGAGAATCCCATACCTTTCATCTGATGTTCCTTTAATGCCCCTTTCAGCTTCATGGTGGTAATCCTCCGAAAGGCAACCAGTTTTTCCAGCAAAGCCTGGTCTGGGAACAGAATTAGAAGATGCATGGGCTGTGGTGGGGAGGTCAAGTGTCCTGTGCAAGATTAATTCAAGAACCAAAAGAGATTTTCAGGGGAAAAGGTGTACATTGGCCCCTTGGTATTCATTGGGGTTTGGTACTAGGATCCCCCGTGAATATCAAAATCCATGGATGCTCAAGCCCCATTAAATACATGGTGTAGTAAAATGATGTCCCTTATATAAAATGGCGAAATCAAGGTTTGCTTTTTTATAATTTATCTATTATTAAAATATTTTCAAGCTGTGGATACTGGAATCTGTAGATAAAGAATCCATGGATACAGAGGGCCGACTGTATTGAGTATCCAATGAAGTGTATTGGTTAGAGACAACTTGGGAACTGTCTCAACAGAAGAGCATTTTAGGGAAGGAGGATTTATGATCCTCACCTGCAAGAGTGGTTTGAAGGAGACTTTCTGTAGTGGACCTCACCTCCTGGATCAGGCGGTCAACCTTGTTCTTAACTGGAAAGAAGAGAAAGACAAGGCGGTGATGGCCATCACCCAAATCTCCACTATGCAGAGAAGGATCAGAGCACCTCTGAGCATATAGGGCAGCAACTGAGAGTCTGCAGCAAACAGAGATAACCTGCATATTTTTCCAGGTAAAAATTGATTTTTTAAAAAATCATGTGGCAGAGCGGTTGGAGTGTTGAATTAACAATGTTGAGATCTGAGTTCTAGTTCCCACCAAGTCATAACCTTCACTGGATGTTCTTCAGCCAGCCACTTTAGGCTTGACAGTTTAGGATTGTCTCAGGGCCAGACCCTAAGGTCCAAAACACACTGCAGAAATAATCCAGTTTGAGACAGCTTTAACTGCTCTGGCTCAGTGCTGTGGAATCCTGGGAACTGTAGTCTGTTGTGACACCAGAGCTCTCTGACAGAGGTGGCTAAATGTCCCAGAAAGCTACAGTTCCCAGAATTCCCTAGCATTGACCCAGGGCACTTAAAGCCGTTTCAAACTGGATTATTTTTGCAGTGTGCTTTGAACCAAAGACCTAGGGATAAGTCCTGATAATGTCAACAAGCATCATGCATTAAATACCAACCCACAGTTTGTAATTCAAACACACCATAGAGAAAGAACTTATTTTCCTGTTTGGAAAAGACAGACATTTTAGCTCTAGGGACTGTTCCCAGATCAAGGTGAAATGAGAGGATTATTCTTTAGGATAAGGAACATTTAATCTAGCTCACTTGTGGATGCAAAGCAGAGTGGAGGATTCGCTCATCTCTGGCCTAGTGACCTCCAGAAATACTGGCTGTGGATGACGGGGGTTGTAGTCCAACATATCTGGTTGGGGAAAGTTGAACCAGTGCTCAATTAAAAATAATTTAATTGCAGAATGAAATTTAGCTGGGCTAAATTAAATAATTTTTTAATTGAGGGGAAAATTTAATGAAACAAGGAGTGATTCATGACTGTGGGAAGAGAACATTCTTGCTGCCATTGCCAGTTCAATTACCTTTTAATTATACTCCTTTCTGTGCTTTAAAACCTATACTATAATGGTTCTGTAGATTGCCTTAAATCATGCTTTTGGAGAAAGTCAGGCTATTCATCTTCAGCAGCATCCAATTCCTTTCTTTTTTTTTAAAGTGCCCTAATAACTCCTATTCTGATGTGGTCTAAAAGTGTTGAGCATCTACAAAATGTGCTGGGAACTATTCTTTAAAGAAGTTAATTAAATGGTGTAAGCATCGTGAAGATGATATTAGTTACCAGTGATGTAACAACCACTAGCCAATACTACCTGTACAGCCCTGGCCCAGCTAAATTTCATTCTGCAATTCGCAAAGTACAATAGATATGCTAACAGGGAAATGAGACCACATCTTTTCAACAATAAGCCATCTTGATAGAAAGAGATGTGGATTGCTGTTGGGACAGAAAGTGTGCATTCATCCCCAGTCAAAAAAGTTCCATTGAAAAGGCTGACTCTGACTGTGCTAAATGGAGCCAAACATTGACTCTGACCATGATAAACGGAGCCAAAGCTGTACCGGCAAGGCCAGAAAACTGGCTGGTGGCATAGTGCAGGAAAAAGTCTCCCTCGAGACCTTTCAGGAGGACCTCAGCCCGCTCCTTGAGGCGGGTGTCATGGATTTGGCGTGGCACAACCTCAGTCCGGAGTTTAGACACATTCTCCTTAAATTTTGCATCACATTGCAAGCAGCACAAGATGGTTGTGGGCAAGAAGATCAGAGGTAGCAGCAATGGAAGGCCTGGGACAAGCATGGCTGAGTGTAAGCCACCGGAAAGTGTTGCCTCAACTGTTCTGTTTTGCATTATGACATCATAATTGAGGTTTTTGCATCAGTCTGGACACAAATATTAG